GCTGCTGGAATAAAGGGCCACAACCTGGGTGGCTGCGGATAACAAATGTATTGTCTTGAAGATCTGGAGGCGAGGAGTCTAAGATCAAGGTGTGGTCATGGGTAGTTTTTTTCTGACCTCTTTGAGGGAGAATCCATTCCCTCCTACCTCTGGTAGCCTCCAGTGTTCCTTGGTGTGTAGCTGGCCATCTTCTCCCTGTGTCTTTTCACATTGCCTTTCCTCCGTGTGTCGGTCTCTGTGTCCAAATGTCTCCTTTTTATAAGGACACCCACCGTTTTGAATCAGGGTCCATCCTAATGACCTCATTTTGACTTGATTACCTCTGTAAAGACCCTCTCACCAAGTAGGATCATGGTTTGAGGATTCCAACTTATCTTTTGGGGAGGACACAATTCAACCCCTAACAGTGAGGCAGCCCCATAGAGTAGGTTCCTTCTCCTCTCTCCTGGCCCCAGATGGGTCTTTCCTTCCCTTCCATCCAGGGAAAACTACCGTGAATCAGCTGAAAACCAATGGCTACAAAAACTTGTTCGGCCTCCTCTCATCCAGTTTCCCTTCATCTCGTGCCAATGAGTGGCGTTTTGCCCAGGCAGTCACTATGCCCTGCGTGCACCAGGAAAAACAAAAACAGGTTGCCAGAGCCAGGAAAACCTGACATGTTTTAGCCTGAGGTCTCAGTATGGTTTCTTTGGGGAACATCAAATGATTTCCCTTGTCTGAGTGCATGAGTGTGCAATGGGGTTAAGTTGCTGGTTGTCTTAAGTTTTCCTACCACAGATCCCTTAAGAAAGCCTGCCTGGCCTTTTCATAGAAACATACCCTAACCACCCAAGGTGGGCAATGGAAGAGGAACCTCCACATGGAAGGGGTGGTTGGAGACTTACAGCCCCAAGTCTTGTCCCAAATGTACCTTTCTCTTGTAAGTTGCATATGAGGCTCAGGGAAGGCTGTTTCTCTTCCAGCACTTCTTCCCAAGCATGAAGAGAAACTCGCATTCATTCTCCACCAGTCCATCAGTCCCAGGATGCAGTGTTTGGTTCATTACCTGATCCCAGTGGCCTGTGGGGTGCCCAGTGCAGTTAGGCATCACTTCTGGCCTTGACCGTGGAACACAGAGGAAGGTAGTTTACACAGGTGACCTGTCCTTTGCCAGGGGTTACGTGGATTTCCAAAGGCTTCAAATGCAAACTCACAAGCACCCATGGTCAAGAGCACAGTCTTGGAAGCCTGGCAGAAGTGGGTGGATATCATCATTCTTTCACCTCCTACTTGAGTGACCTTCAGTAGATTACTTAAATTCTATGGAACTGGGTTTCATCATCTGTAAAGCAAACAAAAATAGAACCTGTTTCATAGAGTTACTGTGATAATTAAAAGACATAGGATATGTATGTAAGGTATTGAGTTCCACCTCTGATACAGGGGTGGGGGGGATTAAAATGGAGATAAAGGAAGGGCAGTGAGACGACCCAACCCATTCTAAGGGTCTACTGCACCCCAGACCCTGGGTAATGGGCAGGGGGATGTGGAAGGAACATCAGAAGACTGCTGGTCAACCTCTCCTTAACTTTCTCAGCTCTAAAATGTGCCTTAAAAACATCCCAGCTTATCTATCCCATGGGCTTGTTACATGGACCCTGAGTAGCTCCCCAGCCAAACTAGAGAGGTCTCCCAAAAATTACCTGTAGGTAGGGCTGAGGGCAGCTTTCCAGACTCTCTCTTATCCCCTCCACCTTGGACCCTCTTGAGAGCTCTGGCCTGGCACCCCTGCTTCCTTATCTGGATGGCAGCCCATCTGGACCGGAGCTAACTCTAGATTTCTCTGTCTTCCTGGGCTCTGCCTCTGATGCCAGCAGGGGCTCCACACCCTGGGACCTGCCTAGCCTCACCGCCCAGCAGGTCTGAACCCTAGGCCAGACCCAGGTATCACAGTTCCCACTGGATCTGTAGGGGAAACCATGACATTTTCACCAAATGAGTCCCAGACATTGTTATTCCAGAAATTGATTGCTATTGTTCCTTTAGCCCTGGGGAAGAGGGATCTTTTCCATTTCCAGGCCACCCTCACCATTTTAGATGTTCAAAAACTGTGTTATAAAGAAAACGAAGTTCCGTTTCCTAGACTGCTCAGGTCAGCAAACAGTGTTTGGTGGAAAACTGGACAGGAAGAGGCTGAGATCACATCGGATAGGCACGGGGAAGCAGAGACAGGAAATCCATCAGTTCTGGGGGCAGATGTTGAAGCCTGAGTCCCCCACAGGTAGTAGCCAGAGGTTTACACGCAGGAACCTCATGGCAGAAACCCCTCCATGTCTGCAGAACTCTGTGAGCACCAGGGCCGACCCCACAGCTGGGGGAGGAGAGGGAAGGTGAGTTGGTGACATCAGCCCAGCGGGATAGCCCCTGGTGTGTCAGCAGATAGAGATCATCTGTGACAACAGCCGCCCACACCCAGGCCCACCCCAGGCCCAGGGGGCTAGCAGCAGGTGGCTTTAGCTGACTTGTTTGGCTTTCTGCCCTGTGGCCAGTGGAACCTGACAGGTCAGTTTCCAGATCTGGGCCGATTTTCTTCCACTTCCTGGTTCTCACACCTTCAACTTGAGAAGCTGTGGTTCCCTTCCCCCTCACTCTGCAAGAGGATGTGTTTTGTCCACAATGCCCAGAGAAAGGTCTGGTCTCTTAATCAGCCATTCTGAACCCTAGGAAGTTATTTAAGGGATCAAAACAGCTGAAGTTAGACCCCTGAAGATTAAAATCAGTGACTGGCCTCTATCTGAGGACGGTTCTTCCAATGTGGGAGAGACCTGAGCACAGAGACCCGCCAGCGCGCCCCTCGCCCCACCAGCCAGGTCTGGGCAGGAAGGAGCAGCTTTGCCTCCTAAGTCTGTTTTTTTAAATTGATCTATAGAAAGAGAGGGAGAGAGAGAGAGAGAGAGAGAGAGAGAGAGAGAGAGAGAGAAACATCAATGTAAGAGAAATATCAATCTACTGCCTCTTGCATGCCCTACTGGGGATTGAACCTGGGCATGTGCCCTGACCAGGAATCAAACTGTGACCGCCTGGTTCATAGGTCAATTCTCAACCACTGAGCCATGCTGGCCAGGTTCCTAAGTCTGTTTTTATTTGCTTTGGAGAAGGTACCTTTTTTTTTTTTTGCAATCCCTTTCACACTTCTTTACTGAATATTTGAGTGATCAAATGGAGATGGAGGTAGCTCAGCAGGGCTGGGATTATGGCAAGGCCAGTGAGGCTACTAGGGAACCAAATTGCAAGAGGCACTCGCTCTCGGGTTCATACAAGTTCTCACCCTGGTCGGACCCTGATTGCTGGTGACGGGAAGCTTCAAGGGGAGATGGTTTACTCAGAAATGGCTGACTGTGGAATAGTGAGGGGCCCCACCACAGGCACCTGCCAGCCTTGCTTCCTCTTTCCTGGGACGTCCAGGCCTCTCATGTCCACAGGTGTACCCTGTGTGGGGCTGGGCACTCCCTGTCAGAAGGCCCCTGCTCCTGGGAACTGCAGAGAGAAACATGTATGAAAGAGAACTTGAATCAAGTCAGAGGTAGTTGTCACTGCAGGGGTGCAGGGCTGAAAAACATTATAATAATATTAAATACCACTTTGGGTACTTACCATGTACCACGCCCTGTGTTAAATACATGATGGCCATTATTTTATATAATCCTCTCAACTCAATAAAGAACTCGGGCTCTAGAGCCAGACAGCATGAATTTAAAGCTCAGCCTGGCCTCTTTCATGATGTGTGACCTTGGGAAATTACTTAACCTCTCTGGGCTTCAGCTTTCTCATCTGAAAAATGGGAATAATAATAGAACTGACATCATGGTATTCCAAGGATCATATCCGGTAATACAAGGAAAGCAATGAGACAAGCATCTGGCACAAGATAAGCACTGGACAAGTATTAGCCATGGTTAGTATTGTGATTGCCTCTTGTAGCTTATTCCTGGGGTTGCCTCAACAAAAGTCTCACAGACTGGTGACTTAAACAATAGAAACGTATTGTCTCACAGTTCCAGAAGCTAGAAGTCCAAGATTAAGGTGTTGGTAGGGCTGGTTCCTTCCATGAGCTGTGAGGGAGAATCTGTTCCCTGCGTCTCTCCTCGATTCTGGGGTTTGCTGGTTTATAGATGATCATCTTCTCCAATGTCTCTTCACTTCGTCTTTCCTCTGTTGTGTCTATCTCAGTGTCCAAACTTCCCCTTTGTTTGAGTCTGTCTGGGCTGCTATAACAAAAATACCATGGATTGGGTGGCTCAAACAACAACCCCTTATCTCTCACAGTTCTGGAGGCTGAGAAGTCCAAGATCAAGGCACTGGCAGATTCGGTGTCTGGTGAGGACCTGCTTCCTGGATCTTAGCTGACTTTTTTCTCACTGTGTCCTCACAAGGCAGAAAGGGTAGAGGAGCTCCCTGGGGTCGTTTTTATAAGAGTATGAATCCCAATCATGAAAACCCTGTCCTCACGACATAGTCTCCTTCCAGAGGTCCCTCCAAATTGGGAATTAGTTTTCAACATATGGATTAGGGGAGGGAGGGTGGAGAAGCACACACATTCAACCTATAGCACCCTTTTTATAAGGACATCAGTAATAGTGGCTTAGAACCCACTCTAATGACCTCTTTTAACTTGATTACTTTGGTGAAGACCCTATTTCCAAATTAGGTCACATTCTGAGATACTGGGGATTCACAATCCAACACATCTTTTGTAGGGATGGGGTGGGGGGGCAGGGAGAGACACAGTTCAACCTATGGTACAAGGCTAAGGAACTTGCTCAATGTCACACATCTCATTGGTGATGAAACTGGGTCCTAGACCCCAGGATTATTTGATGACACATTTCATGGCATGAACCCCATGTAAAGCCCCAACATTCTTAAATCTTCTCTGGATGGGGAGAAAGAACCAAAGAGAGACATTCAGAGCCGACTGCTACTGTGTTGATGGCATTTCCCCTTCTTTCTCTCTTCTCTAGCCTGCCTGCTCCAGGCTGAGCTGGTAAACTATGAACGAGTCAAGGAGTATTGCCTCAAAGTCTTGAAGAAGGAAGGGGAGAACTTCAAGGCTCTTTACCGGTCTGGTGTGGCCTTCTACCACCTTGGGGACTATGACAAAGCACTCTACTACCTGAAAGAAGCAAGGACCCGACAGCCAACAGGTAAGGCAGAAATTGATGTTTTCTCATCATCAGCCACCTCTGGCAGCTCCTGGGGCCCTCTCATTGGGATGGGCAGCTCTCATGATGTAGGGCCAGGCAGGTGCAGAAATGGCAAACTAGGGGTCAGGTGGCCGCTAGAACCTGGAATGAGGAGAACATACAGTCCATGCATTTGCCCAGGGCACTTGGGCACCTCTTCTCTTCAAATTGAATACAGAATTCTTTGTCTTTTCTAATCCAGAATCCAGCTTTCTTCACTTATTCAATAAATACATATTGAATTCTTATGATGTGGCAAGATTTCTGCTGGGCACCAGGGATGTGGATGAGAAAAGGTGGCTCATATATTTGAGGAGCTCACACTCTGGTTGGCAAGACAGAACACAAAGGAATGATTTGGGTGCTGAGCCCAGTATCTTCCAGGAAGCGTGCTCTGCCTTCTCCAGTCAGATCCCATTCCTGAGAGGATGCGTTATCTGTACCATTCTTGCAAATTCACATCCACAAGCTCAGCTATTCATTCATTCCACAGATACTGATTAAGCAGTTACAATGGCCTAGGAACTGTTCTAGGTGCTGAGTAGATGTCAGGGAACGAAAGAAAGCTGTTACATTCAAAGAGTTTATGATATAATGGAGGGAGATGGACAGTAAGCACATGGACAGATAGATAATGCAATATTTAGTAGTATTAAGGGCTATGAAGAAAATAAAGCAGAAAAAAAAGGATCAAGAGTAAATGGGGTGCTATTGTAGACCTGGTGGCGAGAAAGAACCTCTCTGAAGAGATAACATTTCAATAATGACTTTGACTTGATGTTGCCATTGTTCATGGGGCTGACTTTTTAAAATGCATTTCTCTTTCCAAGAAGTCTTTAAGAACTTTAGGATCAATTTGCAAATCTCCAAATGTATACATTTTTCTTTATTTTTGTAAGAGCACCAATATCTTTATGTTTTGATTAGCTTTCTGAAATCAGTCATGTTCCCCCAACTGTACTGTAACCCACTTGAGGACAAAGAACTGGACTCAATCAACAGAATTTTCTTGAACACCTACTGTATGCCAGCACTGTTCTGGCTGCCTTGTGTGCCATGTGTGGCATATTTTAGAATGCTATAGCGTTCGTTTCTACTTCTGGAAGCGAACATCTCAAGCAGCCCTGTAACTCTTATATGCTGGTATGTGCAGAGCTAAGCAGCTGTTCCGCATCATACCCCACTCACCAATTTAAAAGCTGGGATTGGGGGATAATTTCCCAGTTTGGGGTGCGGTGGCCTGACTCTACTTATAAGGACAAAAATAAGACAATGAAGCAAAGTCATTTTAAACTCTTCAATTTAAAAAATTACATTCAAGTAATATTTCTTGGTCATTAGATTAGCACTGTTAGGCTAACCTATTTTGGCCCTCATAGAAATGCCATGAGGAGGGTATGACCCCCAGGAGAGGCAGGCTTTGGAGTCAGATGCATCACATACTGTTTGTCTCCTTGGGCATCACACTTAACCTCTCTCGGGCCCAGTTTTCCCTTTTGTCACAGGGAGGGTGATGCTACATACATACCTTGCAGGGTTTCAAGGAGGGTTAAATGAGATAACATGGCACAAAGTAGGCATTCATAAACGGAAGTTGTTTCTTGCAGACAAGACAGGAGGCTCTGAGAAGTTGATAACGTGCCTGCACTTAAACTCTAAACAGAGCCTCCGCTCACTGTGCTGACTCAGGAGCACGGGGATATGCTGTTTCATAGAAATAAAGGGGGACATCCCTCCTCCTCTCCTCTCCTTCCTGTCTGTCCCTGGGTCAGGGTGACCTGTCCACATTTGCTAGGGGGAGGCCATGGAGGAGAATGCCAATGTCCTGGCTGCCCTCTCAGGACCTTGATGACAGCTGACATCATGGACCTTAGTTGACTGAGGATGGCCTGTCCAGGATCTATAGCTGTAGGCCCAATACTTCCCCTCACCATGTGTCCTCTAAGGTGTGTTTCTCTCCTCACAGACACCAACGTGATTCGGTATATCCAGCTGACGGAGATGAAGCTCAGCAGATGCTCCCAGAGAGAGAAGGAAGCCATTTAACTACAACACCTCTCTAGACTTGCACTTGCACCCGACCCTGGACTTGTAGGCATCCCCTGGCAGAGAGCCCCTCCCTGGGTTCTGGTCCTTTCTCCCAACTCCTTCCACCAGTCCGCCTCCCCTCCCCCAACCTCCACCCTTCCCATCTCTTCTTCCTGTTGCCCCTCAACTATTGTCTACTCCCAGTGTGAAAAGAAGGAGATGCAAATTTGGAATCTGGTGGGTTGCCCTGACAATGGAGATATCTTCTTCTTTAGCAGGTCAGCCACTGAGAGGGACCTGAGCTCTGTGGGGATAGCCCCGGAGGATTCTCACAGACCAGGAATGCCTGGATTTCTGACAGAGGCAGATCCTGGCGGTTTACCATCCCAAAGGCAGTAGGCATAGAACCCATGGCTGGACCCTGCACACCTTTCTGACGGACCAGAGCATCTCAAGGCAATTGTGACAGATCCAGGGTTGAGACAAACACCAGGAGCACTGGTTAAGGCAGGAGAGAGACCATGAACTTGTACACTGGATTTCCCCACCTCTACCCCCAGTAGCCTCCGCCCCTGCCTCTCTTCCTTGTCTTGGCTTGTGCTTTCTTCTCTTGCCGTTGGGGACCTGAGACTGTGCCAGGATTCACATGCCATTGACACCCACTCTCAGTGCCCTCTGGTGACCACACATACCACCCTCCCATCCCCCCAGCAGGCAGCTGTGACAGCAGAAGGGCAGGATCAAGTGGGCCAAGGGTTGACCACTAAGGGGATGTGGGGAGGGAGAGGTGACGTCCAGGGGAGAGAGCATTGTATAGACTGGGCGACTCATTAAGTGTAAATAAAAATAAATTAACAGGCAGAAACTCCTGTCATTTCTGTTGGAAGCAGCCCACTCCCCCACGGTTACTCCCTCCCCCAGCAAACTCACTCAGAGCTACTTCTAGCCAGGCAGGATGGGGCTTCCCCGGTGGCCATTTGTTCCCTGGTCTACAGCGTTGGCTGCCTCCTCTGCATGTTAGAGTAGGCGGGGTTGGGGATTCTGCCCAGGGGGTTGGCTTTGTGGGACTTTGTGGGACTTGTACAGCCTCTTTGATGCCATTAGCTGGACTCAATATCTAGCACAGAGAATGTGTTCAACAAATATTTGTTGAATGAATAAATTATGACTGCAGACTGGCTCTCCTGCCTTAAACTAATTTCATCCCAGCCTAGTCTCCTGATATCTATGCTCTTCATGCCATGTTGCTTCAGTCAAATAAGAAACATTTCCTGAGGGCTTCTTGTTTGCCTACCATTGTGCAATATGCTGTGGGACATAGGACGTGGTCCTATGGAAGAGTTCAGAAATACTCGTGTGAGATTATTACCAATGACACCTTTCATTTATATGATGCTTTAAATTTTTCAAAGCACTTTCATGTATCTTCCGTGTGATCAGTGAAAGAAACAGTATTGTACAAATTAAAATATATACAGATGCAATAATGTTCATAGTTAGCATTTATTAAATGCACTATCCTCAGCTCTTTACATGTATAAGCTCATTTCTTTCATGCAATTACCGTATGAGATGGCATTTCTATTTGAAGGATAAGAAAACTAAAAACCAGAAAAACTAACTATCCCAGCCCAGCAACTGGTTGAGCATCAGCCTATGAACCAAGAGGTTACGGTTAGATTCCTAGTTAGGGCACATGCCTGGGTTGCGGGCTCGATCCCCAGTGTGGGGCATTCAGGAGGGCAGCCAATCAGTGATTATCTCTCATTGATGTTTCTATCTCTCTCTCTCTCCTTCTCCCTTCCTGTCTGAAATCAATGGAAAAAAACTTATAAAAGAAAAATGAACTGTTGCAAGGTGGCATGGCCTTAAGTGGAATAGCTAGGATTTGAGCCAGGTGTGTCTGACCCCAGAGCTCTACCTAAAACTACTCTATAATTAGTTTCTGCTCTACAAAGTATATTGAGCAGTTACAACTGCTCAAGAGCAGGACCGTGTGTGTTACATTAAAAAGTTTTGACTGTAGTACCTGAGCTGCCTCTTGTGTTTAAAATGACCAAAGGGAAAAAAAAAAAAAGGTCCCTAACACTAGACTCGCTAGTCGCCAGGGTGGTAACAGGCCAGGAAAAGAGAGCTGAGCCCCACAGTTATTTCTGCGTATTGTTCATCCTACTTGCTGATGGGCCAGCATGTGTCCAGACAACCCACCTAGCTTTCCTCACCTCATCCCAGCTTTGGGGAAGAGTCACAATTACAGGCAGAGGATGAAAGGGAATACCAAGTTGATGATGGGTTATTTGTTTAATCTGGGGCTCCACCACTGCAGGATCTCATGGCTGCTGAGGGGCCTAGGAGCCAGCAGCCCAGGGGATACTTACGTGGCTTCTCAAAGGCTTCTAACCGGGACCGGAAGAAAGTTCCAGGAATATCCAAGGGCCCACAGTTGCTTGCCTGTAGCTCAGCCTCTGGAGAAGGGGAAAAGGAAAAGGCTGTTACAGCTGCCCCATTCTACCCAACCCCTAACCACAGCCCGCTCTCTGCCCTCTTCCTCCAAAATGGTTTCATGTGACCCTAATTCAAAACCACCCTGCAGTGTACATAGCACAGGCAACCGTGCAAAACCCCCCTGCCCCCAAGCCTCCAGTCCAGAAAAGCTCGTGAGTTGGCGAGCTGCTTGTTAGAATCCGAAGGATAAGATGAGGTCAGAGGTGGCCTGTAGAACCAGTTCAAACTGGCAGGGTCTTCCTTTGGTCTTGCATTCAGGAAGGACTCAGAGTAACTATTCCCAACATGGGTCGCAAGAGAGGTCAAAAAATGAGTTGCAGCGAGACTGGACAGATGGGGCTAAGGTTGTTATCATCCTTCCAAAGAAAAAGGTTGGAAACCAGAACTAAATGAGCACAACCTCATGGGACATCCTAGTACAAGTGTACAGGCTGTCTGCTTGTCTGGTAACTTAGAGACACATGCTTATTGGAACTCCATTCACTGTGACCCAACGTTAAATGATCCCAAAGGAAAAAGCTGCCTGGGGTATTAGCTGATGTCCGGGCTGAGTGGTGAATCTTCTGTTCAGTTGTCCAGCAGAGACGTCAGGGAGCTGCTAAGCAAAATCAGGGGTGTTCACCTTCCCGCCCGCTTCCTTCTCCCCGCCCCTCGCGCACACAGGGCTTGCCATGTAACTGCACGCTGTGTTTGCAGATGTCACTGCTGAACTCTACCTGGAGCACGAAACCTGGATCTGACCTGCTTTGTCATCTCCTGCTTGGACTTTTGGGATAGACTCTTTGGGAAGAAAAATTATACCTTTCTTGTAATAATTATAAACGCCTCACATGTGTATTGTGAATTTTAAGTGGCGGGGAGACAAACTCCAACTCACAATCCTAGTACCCAAGACAAGCATTATCATCCTTTGGGATATATCTTTTGGTTCTCTTTGAGATAAATGCACACCTGCACATACACAGTTTGTTGTGGGTTGTTTTTTTTTTAACAAAAACTAGAGCACATTGTATATATATATATTTACTCTTTAATAACTTACTTTTCAAAATGTGCATATTTTAGAATATGAAATACCTACACAGACACAAAATTCAAAAATTACAAAAATCTCTATAGTAAGAAGTAAATCTCCTTCCCACCTCTCTGCCAGCATCTAATCTCACTCGTATATCCTGTATATCCTTCCGGAGACATTTAAGCATTTTCAAACATATGTCCATGGTAGCATATGGACGCACGTTTTTGCACCGTGTGCTACTCCACTTATTATGTCAGGAGCATAACACCTTTACATCTTTTTTGCGTGTCTCTCGAACTTTTCAACATCATCCCCATTCTACAGATGGGCCCTTATTTGATAACCAATCTCCTAATAGTGGTTATTTCATTTGTTCCCGGTCTTCGTTGTAAATAAGGTTGCAACAGACATTCTTGTAGCTAAACTGCGCACAAGGAAAAAATTGCTTGGCTATCTTTAAGAATTTTGATAGAAGTTGCCAGCTGTCCTCCAGAGTTTGTACCAAAGCGCTCTCTTATCTGCCGCTTGAGAATGCCCTGTTCCCTGCACCCTCACTCGTGGTCGGTATTAACCCTTATAAAATCTTCACCAATTTGATAGAAAAATAATAGGATGTCAATATTGTTTAAACTTGCATTTCTTTGGTTATTATTAATGAACATCTTCATATGCTTATTGATCATGTGTACTTCTTTCTTTGTGAAATTTCTATTCATTTGATATTGGTATGTTTACCTTTATTATCAACATGTCATTTTATTACGAATATTATTTTTGTCAAGAAACACTGCAAATGGGCTTTCCAAGTGCTTTGCTCTCTAATTTTGTTTATGGTGCTTTTTGACATACATAAATTCTTAATTCTGCAATCAATTTGTTCCTCTGTTGCTAGCTTCTTCTGCCTGTGGCTCACTCTCCCATTTCTGCCAGGTGGCCCTTCTAAAGCACACGAATGGTGTCGCTCCGTAGCTTGAACATCTGTAGTGGCTCCTCATTCACTTTAAAAGCCAAACTCCTTAGCATAACACACAAGGGCTGTCATGTGATTTCCCCCACTGGCTCTTCTGGGCTCACCCGCCGGTCTTCTTCTCAGGTGCCCTACATTCCATTGCCACACAGCTGCTTGGCATTCCCTGAACCCATGTTCGGGGTCTCTGGGCCTCTCCATGCTGTTCCCTCTGCCTAGCTGCCCATGCCTTACCCCTCCAGTTCCCTCTTCGCCTTGCTAACTCCGTTCGGACCCTAAGCATCACTACTTGAAAGCAGTCCCTGACCCCTTAGTCTGCGCTCCTGAAGCAACGTGAGCCTACCTCTGGCCAGCATTTGCTACAGTGAATTGGAATTTCCTGTTTATGTGTGTCTCCCTCGCTACCTGGATATTCAAGGCAGGTGCTGTGGTTTGTTCATTTTTGCAGCCAGAACGTCTAGCACGACGCCTTCACATAGCAAGTGCTCACTAAATGTTGAGCATTGAGCTTGGCACGGATGAATAATGGATTCAGTGGCAGATGTTACTTGAGGTAAATGCAGGGCCGGGCTGGATCTGTGCTTCTGAGAAGTGAAGAAATCCTAGGAGACTTGGGTTATAAGAGAAGCCAGGTGCTCCACTGCTGTGCTTTCCAAAACATCAGAATCACTTGAAGTAGCTTTTAAAAAATGCATCATCTCAGGCTCTGCCTTAGATCCACTGAATCAGACTCATGGGAATATTGCTCCACATAAGATAGTGTGTGTGTGTGTGTGTGTGAGAGAGAGAGAGAGAGAGAGAGAGAGAGAGTTCTGAAGTGTTTCTGATGACCAGCCAGGTTAAAAAGCTGCTGCTGAAGTAGTCCAGCAGATAAATCAGAGCCCCTATTTCAAGTCATGTGACCTTTGCAGTGGATAGATGGAGCTGCTTTATTCGAACACCAGCTTTGACATCTACTGGCCGTGTGACCTCAGGGCAGTTGCATGACTTTTCAGGCCCTCATTAGCCTCACTTAAACATGAGGACAATATTATATGCCCCTTACAAGGGTGTTGGGAGGATTAAGAACTACCTGTCTCCTAGCTCCGTGCCAAGCACAGAATAAGCATGAAATAGAACATTCATTTCCTTCCCCCCATCCTCAGCCTCAGTTTTTTCATCTATAGCTTGGCTGCTAATACCTGTATGTTTGCCTTCCACATTCCCGCACCGAACTCCAGAAGGTACAGGACCAGTACTTGAGCGATGCAGAGGGCAGAGGAAGCCCCTTATCCTACCGCATGCTCTCTCCCAGCACAGCAGAGAATGTATAGCAACCAACTGGAATGATTCTGATGCTTTTCAGACCCAGTTGTCTTTTAGTCGCATCCAAAGATCGACACAGTTTTCTTCCTGTGGTTCCACCCAAAGGCCAGTGGCTTTTCACCTCCAAAGTGAAGGCGATTGTCAGAAAAGAGAGTAGTCATTGCCTGCTCCCCTTCCCGCACCCTGGGATCCTCATCCCATGCCTCAGGGTTGGAAAGACAAGACTGAATGTGAGGTCAAAATAGCTCATCTACAGCCACCTCGATTAAGATGCCTCTGGTTCCCACTCCCAATGCCTACACATTCTCTCCTCGCCAGCCCGGGGCCGGCAGCCGAGGCAGAGAAAATGCCTTCAGTCCCTCAGGCCTGACAGAGTTCAAATTACCGAGTCAGCATGAAAAGTCCCACTCTAAATGGACTGAAATTGGATTCTATTAAAAACCGCACTCACTGAGGCCCTTGGCTATTAATATTTGCTACAACATGGAGGAGCGGGAGGAGGCAGAGGCTCCTGCAAAAGGTTGGAGATTGCAGCTGTTCCATGGAATTGCTTTTCTGGAAGCAAGCCTACATCTGAAAGCTAGATGTGCCCTGTTTTTAACAGTTCACAGAATATTAGGGCTGGAAGGAGTCCTGAAGCTCTCTCGTCTTATAGATGAGGGATCAAGTCCAGAGAAGGCAAGTGACTGATTCAAGGTCACACGGCTAGTCAGTAACAAAACCAGAACTGGA